TGTAAAAGAATTAAATTTATTGTAGATTCATGCATTTTTTCCAAAATATTAAATTTGATATTTCCGATATCTTAAATGTGATATTTTGTACTTTTAATCTTTCATTTTCTTCCCAAAAATTAAAAGGTAAGAATATGATTTCCTTTCGTTTTTCTTATGAAATAAATTATTGAAATATTATAGATTCTAAGTGTTTTACCAAAAAATTGATGATTTCCTTCCTATAATCTCTCGTACAGCTAGAGATTATAAATTGACATGTTTTTTATCCAAATCTTTAAATGTTATATATTTCGTACACATAATCTTTAACTTGTTCCCAGAAATTGAAATATATATATATATATATATATTTTCAAGTACCAATCTTACCATATTATAATTTTTTCTCATATTTTTCTCCTAAATTAAGATTTACAAAATCACTTTTTTATTCCTCTCTTTTTTTTTTATCAATTATTTCATCAAAATTTTTAAATAAAACATTTATTTTACAAATAACATTTATTATATATTTCTTAACTGAACACCCGTGTAGTACACGAGTATTGTACTAATAATACATTATTTTATTTTATCTATTTCACAATCATCCGTATTTGTGTGCGTAAATTGAGCGAGTTTGAGATTTTTGGTGTGTGCTAGCGCATAAAGGTAAACTTTAACATTCAAATTAATCAAATAATCACGAAACAGTACTAACATGAGTGTGAATAGTAAATGATCATAGCTATAACTACAATAGCAATCATGACATTCGACATAATAATCTTGCATATATAGAAAGACTTGTTACCTTTTGATAATAATTAGTAGGCAGAAAATCATTTTTCATAACATATAAATTGATTTAATATTTCTTTTTAAAATAATATAATTAAAGTAGGGATCATAGTTAATTTAAATAGACGAAAAATAAAAAAAAAAAAAGAAAAAATATGCGTATTCTCGTCATCACAAATTAATCATCCTTGTTAAGGGTAGTATATGTAACTAATGAAATCAATCAATCATACTTATTTAACTATTAGCAGCGACTTGACCCGACCCTGCAGTCTATAGTCGGATCTTGGCCGCTCGTTCGATCCGAGAATGATGTGCAATGAGACCCGACCGATTGTGTGGGTCCCGGTGAAGCATAAAGATGTTAGACGTACACATAAATTAAATCAATAATTAGCTTTTATATTTCTCAAATATGGTGTTTTTCGGGGGTAACTTTTGTGCTATTTTTCCACACCAAAAAAAAAGGTGCATTTTTAATCAATTTGTTCTAATATTACCAAAAGTAGAAAGTTGTGTAGATTGTTAGACGTATGCATAAATTAAATCAACAATTATTTTTTTATAATTTTTTAAAGTTGGTGTTTTTCGAGGATAACTTTTGTGCAAATTTTCCAAAAAAAAAAAGTGTGCATTTTAAATTAAATTTCCCTAGTCTAGTGTGATTATAATCCCAAAGGAGGTTTTGACTTTTGATAGTTTTCAAATGTCAAACTACAAGTTCTTGAGCTAATCTAAAACTTGAGCACAATGCTAGGAAGATCTTTTTTTCGTTAAAATACACATTTATATTAAAATGCTATATTTTAAAACTTAAATTAAAAAATATGTATAGTGGCATAGCATATAAGAATAGCTCAGTTGAATCTGTGACAGTTAGCTCGGATTGTAGCCCGAATACTAGCTAGGTCGAACCGTTTAGATGTCGTGAGGACTCAGTTAGGTGGCTCGGATAGATGGGGATCTCTATAGCTCTACAATTAGGTAGCTCATATAATTGGGTTATGTTTATAGCTCGGTAGAATGGCAGCTCGGATAACACAAATATGTTTATAACTCAGACAAATAAGGAGCTCAAACAAATAAGAGCTTGCCATATGGCAGTGAGCACATTTGATAGTGGGTAGACGACCTGATTAGGATGAGGATCAACCTAGGTCGAGTCCAAGTTATCCGCGAGGGACACGTATAGGGTGATGAACAAAAGAGACTGATAATCAGATGGACAACAATGAGGCTAAATAACCAAAGGGAAGACCTGCGGGTAGCCTGATAATTGACGGGCCCTTTTGCGCAGAAAGAGCAGTTGGCCATGACAGGGCAAGCATAGGTTTGTTCAAGAAGCTAATAATCTTCTATAAATAGTTAAAATTGAGAAAACGTAAAGGTCAACAATTCTTTATACAATCTAAACTTTATGCATTTGCATACAGTTTTCTATATCACCTTACTGATTGATCGCCCGTGTTTAACGTTGGGAACACCTCTGATCGAGGGATCTAAAGAGCTGGTTTGAGGTGCAACTACACATTATATAGTTTTTTTTTTTTAAAAAAAAAAAAGAAAAATGACTGCTAATTCGTGAACCTAATATGTTATTGTGTATATATGTATATTATTTTGTGTAATTTTTATAACTCTATTTAGGGGTAATTAATCAATTGCCTTATCTTGTAAATTAGTTAGTTTCCATATTTATTCTCTTGCAACCTAATCTAGTGGTTTATTTATATATTGGACTTTGTGCCATCACTGATCGTCATGATCGTGTATGAATCGGTTTTCCCAATATTTCATTTTGACATGGCATATGAGCTATTTTTTTTTTTTTAATTTTCGTGAAATTTTTTTCGAATCTCTTCGTGGAAAATTTGGTTTACGGACGCAATTTTGTTCTTTTTTAATTGGTTTAGCCACTTTGAGTACCAAAGTTAAAAGATGCCATTAGATTGTCTTTTATTAATTACTAGTGAGAATCTCGTGCAATGCACGCGGTTTTGTATTGTAGAATATTTTTCAGAATTTTATTTTAACAATATATTAGCCTGCTTACCCGCTAATATTTATAAAAATAATATTTTAACATATAAAAAAATAATAATATTACATACTTTGGTTCATCATAATACACAAATATTATTTTATTCAAAATTTTATTGTCGTATAATGTAATTATTATTATTTATAACACTTATAGAAGTAATTTTATTTTTGGGAAAAAACATTTTTCACCCTAATACAAAGATACATTAAGTTTTTCACACCGCCCAGTAGCAATCTAACTTTTTCACCCCGAAAAGTGCGAAGGTTATGCGAATGGAGTGCATAACTGTGGCATATCAATTGTATAACTATCGCATATTCATCGCGCAATGCCTTCGCAATTTATTTTTTTCATCCCAAAAAGTGCGAAGGGATATGTGAATGTCTTTGCACTTTTAACTTTTGCACAATGTCATCGCGCAACTGTCGCATATATATCGCATAATGCTAAAATGTTAACTTATTTACGAGCGGGAAATTTTTTCGTCTATATTTAGCATTTAACTAATATTAATTTATTATCAGTTTTATGCATGAAAAACCTAATTAATTTTAATACACTCGATGACTGTTACTCATTAGCTAAAAATTGTCTTAAATTGAAAATTTGATCGTAGATTTATTAGATATATTTTCAATAAGATCTTATATTAACTTAATTGTAATTAATTGACACAATTCAAAAAATTATTATGAAAATTGATTTGATTAAATATATTATCATCTATGGTTGTAGGTATTAATTTAATTAATTATATTCACTATTCAGAAATACTTAAAATATTAATAAAATAATCAGAATAACTATGTTTAAATCATATAAACTTAATAAATAAATTAAAATAATAATAAAAGTTTCTGAAATATAGTCAATTTATCTATGAAAAGATACATCCCTATTGAATATATTATATGCAATGATAATACAATTGAAAATTTAAGTAATATTCTAATACAAATAAAATTTTATGGGCGGGTGCAATTTAGAATTATAAATTTCACCTTAGAAGTATCTATGTACATCAAAAAAAATATTCAATTTTTAAAATTATATGTTTTTTCTTATATAGTATTTTATAAACGAAAATAAGTTAATAAAGAAGTAATGTATAATAATTAAATTATACCACTTGGTAATTATGGAAATATACAATATATCTAAATATTTGAATAGATACTATGTAACTCATAATATAGGATGAAAAAATGAATTAAAGAAATAAAGATAAATAAATATGAAAACATAAAAATAAAATATTTAACCTTAAAAAAATTGTGTGTTGCATTAAAGTTACTAAAAATTAAAATTATTTATCAAAGTTTTTATGTTTAATGCACTTAATAATTATAGGCATAGATAAATATTATGGATTAAACGTTGGACAATTATCAAACAATGTGCAATTATGAATTGTTGAAAAAAAGTATAAGATTATGATAAACGACAATTTTATAAGTACATACAATTAATTTGTACACAAATATCATAGGATCTTATACATTTACAATACATTATAAACTCAAAAAAAATAAAATTTATATATTAAACAGTCAAAAACTACAAAAAAAGACATATATATGAAATATAAATTAACAATGATAGTAAATAAATAAATGTTATATTATTACTGAATAGAACATTGTGGAGAATATAATTTGATAGTTTTAAACAGTTTTATAATATTTAAATAAAAAAAATTTTTTGCATTATATCCCGTGACACGGGTATCAACACTAATTCAAATAATTTCTCAAAATAACATGCAATTAATTTTGATAGATTTTTTTTTGTTACTATCTTCGATAAAGAGGTTGTCTCTTTATATATATAGATATAGATTCTTCTCCTCAAAAGGAGCAAACAAAAAAAAAATGTTTATAAAAAATTGAAGCATTTACTCAATCTCTTTGGAACTAGAGAAAAAATAAAGGCACAATATATAGAAACAAAAAAATCATTAAAGAAAATTGACAATAAAACATCACATTGAGGATGCATCATACACTACAGCTGCAGAGCTGCTGTTGATTATACACATAATCTAACACACATCACATTATTTTCCTTTATTTTTTTTGCTTTTTTCGCTTATGTCCATAATACAAAGCTTTCCATACATATAAGCCATGGCAATCCGAATAGGACATGCCATCAAACCACATAGTCTGAGACTTTAACTATAATGATTGATCTTCACAAACCTCGGCGGCGTGTGAAGGTAGTACGGGTACGGCGCACACCCCTCGACCGAGCCGCTTTTCCCCAGTCGACGCCTCGTGTGGTTGAAAGGGCTACACCCACCACAAGGATAAACATAGTGATCATAAAAATCCCTCGTGCCACCACCACCACCATCATCATCATCATCATCTTCTTGGCATTCCATTTGTGCCAAGACTTTGACAAAAAGGTCGACCTCACAAGGCAGGTGCAAAGGCCCCGTGTTCGCGAACCCGTACTCCAGCTCCGCATCCTCGAGAAGCATCCGGAACAAAGGGTGGTTCACGAACTCGGTCTTGATCACGAACCTCCGCTTCTTGGGCCCCACGTAAACCGAGAAGCATCCCGTGGGGGCGACTCGACGCCTCGTGTTCGCCTTTTTTCGGCTCTCGTCATCTTCGGACGACTTCTTGCCGATCGATAGGCATTTTTCGAGTTTCTTGAGTATGGAACTAGTTTTCTTCTCTCTCTTGTGTTCACCTTCCATGTATTTTGAACCAAAAAAAAAAAAGAAAAAAAAA